AGGCAGTGACTTATTGAACAAAAGTCAATCTATTCAACATTTCACCGAAGCGAGAAAGATTAGACACGAATACGGTAAGTGAATGAATGAATGAGTGAATGAATCAATCAATGAATCAATTAATGAATCAATTAATGACTTACGGTCAATGAGTTATTGAATTCATTATTCAAATAATTAAATAATGAGCAAACAAACAAACAAGCAAACAAACGAACAAGCAAACAAACAAGCAAACGAATTTTTTTCACGGAACAAGGGTCATACGAAGCAGTACAAAAAGCGCGGGAGAAATTTCGTGACGTCAGAGATCGGATGAACGTCTGTAAAATAGCGGAGCACCTAGATCTTGAAGTCAGGCAAGCTCATCATTACACCATGAAGAATCTGATCGACATCCAGAAAGTGAATGATTGAATGGAGGGATGAATGAATGAATGAACGAACGAATGAACAAACGAACGAATGAATGAACGAACGAACAAACGAATGAATGGAAAAAGAAATAAGTGAACAGATAAATGAACGAATAAATGTCAGAAGGGTTCTCAAAAGGTTCCAAATTTAAACAGGACATGAAGCCGTACGTACATAACACTATACATCGTCTCAATGAATACTGTGCTAATGTCGGCGTCACAGATAGGTTCCAGGGATACAGGAACAACATCAATCTAGGTTCACTTTTAAATTATTATTATTATTATTACTATTATTTATTATTATTATTATTATATTATTTATTTCAATATCAATTAAATGATGTTTAATTCAAAAATCAGTGTTATTATTTATAGAGTGAATGGTTAATTTTCTGTCTTAATAATGGATGAACGAACGAACGAATTAATGAATGAAGGAATGAATGAAAAAATTAATGGGTGAATGACTGACTGACAAACCTAATGAATAAAAAAAAATGAATGAGTGAATGATATTGTATTAGTTGACATCAAACAAATCATTGTTACAAATAAAAGACTACAACAGCAAACAACGGGTGAATGAGATGAACGAACGAACGAACGAATGAACACGCGAATGAATGAATAAACGAATGAATAAAAAAAGAATGAAACGATTGACTGAAGGTGTGAAAGACCCAATGGCCTGTCCGTCGAGCGTCGATCAAAACACTGATGAAGAATTATGCCCGGAAGAATGCTGCTGTGATTGCTGTTGTCCAACTGAATTAGGTGCCGCTCCTGATGATGATGGTGTCGCCACTACTACCACTACTACAAGAACTACTACTACTACTACCACTACTACAAGAAATACTACTACTACTGCTACTACTACTACTATTTCTGCGGCTTTTACTACTGCTGCTACTACCACTACTACAACATCAATTAATATACATATTGAACAAGTAGTTCTAATGAAAAATAATTGAGCAAATGATCAGAATTAAAAATAATTACTCATAAATATGAAATTAATTAATTAATCGGTTAATTAATTGGTTAATTATAATTAGATAAGCTGCCTAAATGTCCAGCCAAGTCGGTCCAGGAGCAATACGGCATCAACACATGCTACCCCGGCTCTTCTGAATACACTGACCAGTAATTACCATAATTTATTCATGAACAATTTGATTAGTGATGACTTTTAATAGATTATCTTAATTAGCTGGGCTTAGTTGGCTTAATTAGTGGTTGGTAAGATTGTTATGGTTAAGTTCAATTTCTCTTTGAGTTAAATTTTTACTTTGCATTATAATTTTTGTTGGGTTGGTGAATGAATGAATAGATGAATGAATAGATGAATGAATAAATGAATGAACAAATGAATTGATGAATGAATGAACGAAAGAAAAAAAAATAAATACATGAATGAAGGAATGAATATAGGAACAGACGAACGAAACGACAAATGAACGAAACTAGAAACAATCGATCAAGCGAATGAAGGAATGATTGGATGAATGAGTTAACATACCAACCAATCAGGTAACATACCGACCCATCAACCAACCAATCAGGTATCAATCCCCG